GAATCCGCCTGGCATTGTCCATCCCTTTTCGAGGCTCCTCAAACCTGTTGTCGGGTTCGCCAATATTATTGGCTATTTCGTCAGCGGGAGATCGACATTTGGTAAACCTATCCTGGACCTGGCCAAGGTTTGAGGACGTCATGCTCTCGCCTCCCATGGGGCCCATCCACCACTTTTGCGGGATAGGGGGATGAGTTTGGTTGAGTTCAGCTCAAGCCTTGGATAGAGATTTGCACTAATCGGCACTTCTTACCCGCTATCATGCCGTCCTAAACTCACCCAGACCTCGCCCAAGGTCTGAGGACCCCTATTGGACTGAGAAGTGGCCCAGATGCAAACTCGAACCACTTTGCTTCAACTTTGCCAAAATCCTCACCCCAGAATATTCCACAAAATGGCATCTACGAGATCGGCCTAAAAATGGGCAAATATAACCGGATGTGCTATCAGGAATACTCTCTATCCCCCATACATCCCCCTCCTACTATGGGACGTTAATTGATATTTCCGGATCGCCACACCCCCTGCTGTTTCAGCCGATTCACTTCCCCGTTCGACCCACTTCTGGCTCTAATGCATCACCCCCGAGACTGGGATGGTTGGGCCTGGCGTGGGGGCGTTGGAGCTGCCTCACCTAGTAAATATTAGTACCATTTTCCTTTTTCCCTATCTTAGCGGGGGCCGAAATCTGGTTTTCGTCCCTCTGCTTGCCCCCCTTAACTCGACCGCGGGGGGGGGGGGGTTCCGGGCCTCTTGGGAGTGTGTCCCACAAGCCATCCCCGGGTAGGCAGGGGGTCCACCCTCATGACAGGTACGAGTACAATTGACCCAACAGAGGAATAGACGAAAGATGCGTTTTGACAGAAGGCCCGGTATAACATGGGGCAAAGCTCCCTCCGCCTATCTTCCTCCCGGCCCTCCCAGAGCTACTCTCCCCCCAGTTTCTTCCATACAGTATATCCCCGATTACGGGTACGTTAGAATCACTCTTTACTGACAGGTCACAGGCAGTTGTCACTCCTTAGCCCTCCCCCCCCTAACCTCACCCACACGCAAACGGCCGTTAACACCTACAAGGGGGGAAGAGGCGCCTCGGCGGCCAGGGCGAACAACTTCCTAGGCGCCCAGACCTTCTTCGTTCTCACACACCTGGAGCTCTCGGCAACCCCCGAAGATGTGCGGTGGCCATTAACACTTCTGGCGTACCTTCAGGTCTGCCTTGGGCCTCTCAGTGCCCTTTCGCACCGCGGATTTTCCAGGAACGCACACCCTCCCGATCCAGAAGAAATCCCCCTCTATGTTTTGGAATGGTTATTTTTCCTACCCCGGTAATCATTCACAGTGTTACGGGGCCCGTAGGCCGGCGTCGGGGGGGGGAAGCAAAAACAATTCACTGCGCACTGTGCACGCCAAAGGTAGCTATCCTAGCAGCCAGGGATATGTGCAGTGCTGAATTCCTTAGCTGAATTGTGCTAGTATTTAGTTGGCCAGGTTAAAACATTCTACACCTCTGGACTAAGCTTTCATATTTAAAATCCCCACATCCCCAACTATCACTCGGTGTCAGCGACGACCAGTGCTCCTCCGCCGCGCTTTGAATTCTCCTCTCTTCAATCGCGCCTCTACAATATCACCTATCACACTATCCTATCCCTCCAAGTGGGGAAGACAAAATCGCGAAAAATCGGGGAATTACTCAAGCTACTAGCTAGGCAGAGTCTGGAACCTGAAAACGGCGCTCCCATAACCGAATACCACTACCATCCATAACTCTACACGTAAGGCAAGAACGGAGAAGCCTATATCAAAACCTGAGACAAATAGTCAAGGAACCAATCAACAAGCCACCTCGACGCCCGGCTAAGTCAGCTGCCTACGCAAGCACCACGCAGAGCGTGCCACTCGGAGTGTTTCCGGAAAACTACCCTTCTACGAGGTACAAAGCGAGAGCCCCACTGGACAAGAGCGGAGCCAAACTGCCATTCCTCATCACCTCCAAGTCTTATCGGTTGTTAAACCTCTCTCGCAGTCCCCAGTCGCAGACAAAGAATGTGCGTTGTTATGGCCCCCGCCAAGAATACCACGGAGGGACTCTGGTCCCAGCCCAACCCACACCGGCTCCCTCGCAATCAAGCCCCCGGATCGGGCCCCGGGAGGAAGGAGAGAGGTACGTCTCCGGGTAGAAGATGTCCCTTCAGGACCTCTGTTGCTGGTAACGCTTGCGATGGCTCCGTTAATCCCCTATGCAGAAACTGCCGACCTCTGTTTCGGGAAAGAAAAAGGGCTTAGGTTGGGGAGGGAGTAAGGGAATAACGCCTACTTAGGGTCGACGGTGGTGCCTAGTGATATGGGGAAGTAGAGTCCTGTCTGTTATTATTGTCACTACCGCGGGTCGGTAAGGGGGGGAAAGCATAATTCACTTGAAACAATGTTTGTTTTCTATCTTTATAAGTGTTTCTAGTCTAGTATTTGGATTCGTGCTTTTTATGATTAGGTGGTGGAATAATTTCCTAGGGAAGTAGCCAAATTGACGTGGGTAGGGGACTCGGTTGATGTAATCCTAATAATATAACCTATGATACTTGACTTGGGAGCCAATTTGGAGAGTTCGGATCCTATTTCTTATGTCGGAGATCTGGTAGACTTAATTGAGTCCCGAGGAGGCACGTCTATTTAAAGAACCCAGCGTGACAAGCCATCACAGTTCCCCATGTCTCACGACCGCCGAAACTATCCCAATCGATGCTCCACCGATATCCCATCACAAGATATCACCCGGCACCTACCAGCATCACGGGTCGATGGGCGGTCCAGTTCGAGAGAAGGCACAATTTTCTCCAGAACGATAGAATGACAATAGAAGATAACAGCGGTCAAAAAGCCCAGGATATCCCTAAAGTAGTCATATTATATCCTATCGACGTCCGTGTTGGGTTATGCACACCCGCTACTCACAGCCCTCGCTCGCGGGACGTCTGTGCGTATCTAAAGTTCTGATGACACCCACATCCCACCAGGCACCTAAATTAACGCGTTGGAACCCTGCACTTGCGCCTTACCGAGACCATCCCGGAATACCACGTGGTAGTGTCAGGATACCGTACCGGTATATGCTACCAGGTTAGCAGTAGAAGCGAAACCGGAGTCATGTGTCATCCAAAATAGCCATTGCGCCCCCCTCCCGTCGACAGTGATCTAAGTTAGCAGTAACCCACCCTGCGCTGCACCCACTAACCACCTAGGCAGGCAGCCACAACGGTGCAGGACTTTTTGCCGCAGTATCCGCGGCATCATTGCAGTGACGTGACGCGCTCAACTCAACCCAACCCTAACGTTCTAATGGGATATTCACCGGTCCAGTGCAAGGCTTAAATTATGCAGCACAAGCATCGGAGCGATTGGTCCTATTGGCTGGAACACTGCGTCCGGAGAGGTATTGAGAAATCCCTCGAAATAATATCGTAGTATCTCGGCGACAAGATGGGGGTGGTTTGAGAGGGCTTACATTTTTTTTATCTAATGCCCTGCTATATTAGTTCCTGGCGGGAGCACATCTCCCAATCTTTTCCGGTTGAACGTTAGTATAATAGGTATCAGTCCCTTACCCTGCCAAAAGCGAGAACCGGCGCATGATAATATCCTAGATTCTTCTCAAAGGAAAATCTGACAGTGGGCGGTGGAGGGGGGGGGAAGGGGGTTCTTTTTCTCTCTTTTGTCCTCCGTAGTGTAGTAGGGTAATTCATGCACGAGTAGAATATCCTACCACCCGGATCTTTGCACTGCTATACTGCTATTCGAGAAGGTTTCAGGAGGGGCCACCGCTCGATGTTATTATTCGAATACCAACTTGAATTTGCACTGGTATTAACACCTAAAACCCGGACGATGCACCTATCCTTATATAAATCTTGCTAGCCATATACCGGTAGTAGGTACAACACCCAGAACCACAATACGGTACTCATCCGCGCCGAAAGTAAACCACTCCTGCAACTGGAATGAAAAACCCGTGCAGGAACTGCCCTTTGAATCTCACCTGCTTCCAAACCTAGCACTTGTTTCAAATACTGGTTGTTATTATTCTCAGAACTCTCGCAAGATGAATATCCTGGAGCTGGCGCTGGAAGTAAGCCCCGTCCTCGCGAGCAGGAAGCACAGTCTACGGCGCCATCCTACCCCCCCCCCCACCGCAAAACCCTTATCGACAGATACCATACCTACCCATACCATGGACATACCATACCCAATTACGTCCCTATCGCCCACCCACCAGTGTTCCATATCCTCCTCACTCCCCTATCCCTCACCACCAACAGCCCCCAACTACACTCCAAGGCCCCGCACCTCTCCCACCTCTACAACAGAGAGCACAAAAAACACTTCTCCCCCCCCCCTCCCCTCACATCACCCATCATACTGCTCACCAATTCACCAGACCGGCTACCATACTACCCTCCACCAACAACCCGTCAAGCCCCAGATAATAACCCTAAAAGTGGCGCATAATACCGACCATCTATGCGTGAGCCGCAAAATCGGATATCGCACGCTACTGCTTCTGGGAACTGATATGCGTCCTTGACCCACTGGTATTTACAGGCCCCACATCCATCTGTAAACTTCTTCCTGTGCGCCTGTTTGTCGGAAGGATCCTGGGTTGGGGGTTTCAGCCTTACGAGTACGGGAGGGCCCAACGGGCCTTTGGATAGATAGGACAGGGTAGGCGGAACTGGTTGGGCGGCGGCTCGGTGCGGTTGGTGTGTTTGTGGGTGCAAGATATGATATAATATGATGTAATATATTATGATACCTTTTCCACTCAATTAAAAGGAGTAGAGTGGGGTTCCATCCGAGTAGTATGATACTGTACGTACACAAAGGTACATGTACTATTTTCCAGAATATCTCCTCACCTCCCAATTCCCCGTGACAGTGATATAATAATTACAAGTAAATGATCAGAACGACTATTTACCATCCCCCCCCCCTCCCTCGCACTCTCAACCACCCCACACTGACCCTTCCCCAATCCACCCCATCTCTACAGCCGAAACCCCGCGCGCGAATGCTCTAGTGGTATACACAAACTCATGGTAAACAATAGCCTCCACTCTCTTCCCAAACAGCACGCTAGAGGGATGAATCGCAACGGCCTGATTCCCGACGACAGTCCTATAACTCCCGTCCTGGACTCACCTCGCGGTGTTGTGAAGGAAGCCCTTTAAGAAGCATTTCAGGATTCGACTTGCTAGGTCTGGAGTCACCGTCGCTGCTGGGGTGAGCGAGGGGGAGGAAGGTGTGAAGTGGATGGTATATTGCTTTAGTTGTTTGCGGACGTCCTAGCGTTGTTTCCCAGTTAGCTGGGATCTAGAGGAGGGGGTGTGGGGGCGTACAAGGAGGTTCTGCATTGCGCGGTGGGAAACAAAATGTTTCTCCGCCCAGGCCTTTTTCTGCGGTTGGGATTCGTATTCACGGACTAGTGTTAAGAGCATAATGTGGTCTCCCTCCCGTCTGTCGAATTCCTTCCGTGCTTCTTCCATTTGCTCACGCTTCTCATCGCCGGTTGGGGTTAGCAAGATATTCTCTACCGACAGCGCAGCGATAATGTCAATAGCTTCATGTAGACAATCCAGCTCAGGCTCCGCCGCCGCTATAAGGACTCTTGCCAGAGCGGGTACTAATGGCAATTTGGCCATTTTACGCCCCAATCGTTAACCCCCCCCGAATTATCAAGTGCGCCCAGAATACAAAGGTGCCCAAGACCCCTCTCCAGCGCCTCCCTCCCCGGCGAATCCAAGTAATCAAACGCAAGCACATTATCTTGCCCCCGCGCCTTGAGTACAAGTATCGAAGACGCAACATCGCACCTCAAAATCTCCGGTACCGTGGTATCTGCTAACGGTATAAAGTCCCGTTCGGTATACAGCCTATAGCACTTTCCCGGAGCCTCACGGCCAGCACGACCGGCTCGTTGGAGGGCAGAGGACTTGGATATGGGAGTTACAAGCAATGACTCGAGACCGATTCTTGGCCGGTACTGCTTCGTCTTGACTTTGCCACAGTCGACCACGTGACGGACGCCCGGGACTGTAACGGAGGTTTCCGCAATGTTGGTTGAGAGGATGACTTTTCGGGTGTTCTTTTCATGTGCGGGTTGGAAGACTCGCTGTTGGAGGCCAGGGGGGAGGGCAGAGTACACTTGGTCTTTATTCCGCCTTGGGTTAATTCAAGGTTACTCGTGCCAAGGTTGTGGCGCAGCCACAACCTTGGCACGAGTATCATTGTCTGATGAAGGAGGATTGACAAAGGAGGGGTACCAAAGGGTCAGCGTTACTTTGGAGCGATGCCGGAAACTTATTTTGCGGTAGGTGAGGGTTCGGATCACAAATCAGGACTTCGTCTTCCGTTGTGCCGGGATGTTCCTCGAGGTTTCGGTGGCCGTTCAGAGCCCGGGTAACCGGTATGGAGACGCTACTGTACTCGTAAGGTTTGTACTTTGTACTCTCGGGATCCTGGTGAATGAACTACCATTAGAGTGTATCCTCTATGGGCATATTAGCTCTGGCCTAATGTACTGTAGGCTCCGGGGGGCGGATTCGTGTGACACATGTCAGTCAGCCAGGCTGGCTGGCGGGAATGGTGGCCGTTCGTGGAATATCACTCGGCATCATTAAATGTTGTCTAGATAGTTGACACAGTGAACTTGAACGATGAGTTGGGAAATCGAGGAGCTCTTAGTGAGGTTCAGGATGCCCAAACTATCTACTAATTGGAGCGAAACATAGAGCAGGAGTACCGAGACAGAAGCTAAAACACCAAAATTACAGGTTTTTGAGCTCTCACAAGCAACCACCATGGGCGGAAACAACATAGAAAAAATAAAAAATTAATTTGCTATAATGGCACCCTTAGAAAAAATTGTGGATTTTTTTCCTTCTATTCTCCTAGGCAAGGGGTGGAACGTCCTTTCCTGCATGGTACTGTACCTGCCAAGACCAGAGTTCCTGTATGGGAAAGATACACTGCATCACACCTTACCCAGTTCATGTGCCCACAATTCTGTACAAACTCCAGACAAAGGCCTGAAATAGATATGTATCATACTTCAGACATGCTAAATTCTTAAATTTTTTTCAAGGCCGAGTTTCAAGAATTCTGTGGAAATAGAATCGCTCGAAAACCTACAATTTTGGTCTGTTTTGGCCTGTCTCCTTACTAAACGACCCCTGTTGGAACAACGTACCGGTATTGGCCCATGAACCACTATCTTTGGCTGCTATTGATAACATTTTTTGGAGATAGATAAATGATTTACAAAGGTTGGGAAGCCTCATATGTAAATCCTACCGATTGGTGGCCTACACTCCAGATATGGAAATACAGTTACATTGCGAGTGAAAAACTGCGATTGCACCCCCCCCCTTCGTCGCCTCCTACTCCATTTTTGGCATTTGCATCTCCCGCTGTTTTTTCCTTTCTCTCTCTATGCACCCGGACCATCTCTTCGTGCATCTCCTGCAGCCTCCTTCACCATTGCCTTCTCCTGCAGCCTCCTTTCCTTCTCCTCCTTGTATTGGCTGAGCATTTTGGCATGCCTCTCCTTAACCCTCCGGCTTCCTCTGAAGCCTTGCGACCTTCCTCGCCTCCTTCTCCTCCTTGAGCTAGCTAACCATTTCGGCATGCCTCTCCCTAACCTCCGGCTTCCTCTGAAGCTCGGCGACCTTCTTCGCCTCCTTGAGCTAGCTAACCATTTCGGCATGCTTCTCCCTAACCTCTGGCTTCCTCTGAAGCTCGGCGATCTTCGCCTCCTCTGCCTCCTTCCAAGCCTTCAGGAAGGCGGTCGCCTTATCCTTGACAATAGCCCTCACCCCACCACCATAAGGGTCCTTGATGGCAACCAGCTTTGACTTATGCCTCCCGTTGCCAACGCCAATCTTTATATTCCGCTTTATGCGAGATTTCGCTCCAAGGGCCCAGAGATCATCTCATTAGCTCCGCCTCGCATCTCTGTACTTCAGTTTTCGGAGGCTCTTGGGGCAGTCCAGCACTTGATGGAGCCTGTTGGAGTGCACACGTTGAACATGACATGCCCGTGGCATTTGATGGGTGGGGGGATGATGCGCGGGAGGGTTAGACAGTAATTGCGGAGTTGTGACGCTGTATATGGGCTTTGAACTGGCATGTCGGGCTCGCCGTTGACGGGGGTTATGCCAAAGTAGTCTATTGTTGGGCTGATCTCGTTCTTCGTGTGGATGCAGTGGTCGAAACAATGACGGAAGGCGACGTATGAGTACTCGAGGTCCCCGTGGTTTTTGGATGACTCCTCCATGAGTTTCTGCAGATTGCCGGGGCACTCATAGCGCTGTGAGAAGTGGCAGTAGTCTTTGCGTTGGGTGCCATCCGTGGGGCCAGAGACGAACATGGGGTATTGTTCGTGGTTTGTGCACGGGACGATTATGGCGCCGGGCCCCTTTTCGACAGCGGGGTTGGTGGAGTCATGGGCATTCGTGGAAAGCTTCGCCAAAGTCCTTGATGTATAGTAGTCCTTTAGAATAATGGAGCTTTCCAAGAGAGGAGAGTGTTTTCATAATTTCTAAACAAGGGAAATGTTACCCTCGTACAGTCCAGCAACCTTGAGAAGTGAAGGATTCAATTATTTAACAACGAATCCTCCGCTTCTCAAGGTGGCGTGGATGCAGTCCACGACAACTGATCCTCCCTGCATCCATCTTTCCTTGTCCTCCGCCATCCCGCGAAATAATGCAAAAAAACTATCAGTTTGTGAAAACACAGTACCATCAAATCGTAGCATCTGCCACCCCTCACCAGTCGTTACGAAGCCATATACCACGCCCCCCGCATTCATTTCCCCCATGTCCTTCATCACGAGAAGACATAGTTTCTTCGCTTCGCCTAGGGATGATTTTTTTGCCTCGACCACGAATACAAATTTCCGATCATCAATGCCAACGGTATCGATCGTCACAAACCCTTGATTTCCACTTGTTTCTCCGTCCTTGGCTATGTTTGTTTTTTCCCTCCGCAGGCGTAGATTTCGTCCAGTTTTTCTATTGAACATAGCAATTACCGGGATAAGTACTGTGAACACCAGGTCATTAATATTGGCTTCATTATAGTCCTCATTCATGTCGCTTGGATAGCCCTCTCCTTTTAAATACTCCACAATCCATTTGTAAACATTCTCTTTTGCTTCTTTAACCTCTTCTCCCGTGAGCCCCTGGATTTTGGCTTCTCGGTCGGCAGTGGCTAACATCTGCGTAACTGTGACAGCACCCTTGTCGAAAGTTTCGAGAAGGAAACCCAATCGTTTCCCTGCTTGTCTGTGTGAAAGCTTCAAATACGAGATCCTGTGCCCGGGTCCCGCTGGCGGCTTACTCTGCAAAACATTATCACCGTTAGAATTGTTTACAGGCCATTAAGAGTTCAAGCTCACCGGTCTAGCAGGGGGAACTTTTTCAGCAAGGGGAATTTTTTTAGCTGCCGCCGGGCGACCATGTAGGTACCTGTGGTGGGCATTACGCGGCTTTGGTATGAACTTGGCGAGAACTGGGAGCCTAAACATCGCTGCTGTTCATTCCTTTTGAATTTACTAAGTTGGCATTCGACAAAAATAGCTGTCCTGGTATGATATCAAAGGGACCTACGTTGTTTGGGTTTCGATTCAGGGAGAGCCTAGGTGAACAAACCAAGCTTTTTCCAGTCTGTTGCTCCTGTACGAGGACCTTGGGGTGGGACCTTCCCGATGCAGGTGATAACGTGGTAGGTAGAGGAGCTGGCGGGACGATTGTCGTTGTGTCGGATTTATTAAAAAAAAAAGAAACCTTGTTCGTAGCCTGTCTGCTGGTGGTGGGGTGGAGAAGGTTTGCTTCTTCTGAGAAAAGTGTGGAGAATACCGCTCTACTTAAACTGGGGGGATTGATTACTAATCTGTAGCTTCTCGGCTGATGCCAAGTTTGCAAACTTGGCTGACTAATCACATCATATTTTATCACTCGCTTGGTTTGTGAATTGATATGACTGCGGACCAGAAAAGAAGCTTGATTTTCTTATCACCTGCGCAGCAGTGGGCTTTTATGCTTAACTATCAAGTGAAAGAAAAGAAAAGAAATAACAAAAGCCCGAGGTCGGTAACATGAGGACCTCGGAGGAAAGAATTTGACGAAACCTCCGTGAGGAGAAAAAACATATGAGAGCCTCGGAATACCATAGTTGTACGAGTATATGGCACGGTTGTGCGGTTGTGAAACGAATAGGGAAGAGATGAAGAAAAAACTCAAACAGTAACTAACGTTGAAGAGAGTGGTGAGGAAAGCACTAGGAGAAACTAACTAAAAAGGAAACTAGTCTGTTTGACGGATAAGCACTAAACTCAACATGGTTAGTACTACTTGTATTATTGAAGTCAAGATCAATATTTAGGGAGCGTTTGGCACATTTTTTCTGATTTGAGATCTGGTCTTGGCATTTTAAGATCAGAATTTCTCAAACCTAAGCAGGAAAATTTGAGATCAAAAGTGGAGATCAGAATGTGCCCAACACTTCCTGATTTCAGGTCCTGGTTTGAACTCAAATTATTTTTTGAGCTCCAAATCATGTCATGCCAAACGCCCCCAAAATTATTGGTATGGTTCTGGACGTCTTAAGTGTACACCTCAGAATTTGTGACGGGGGACGGCTTGGCATTCAGCCACAAATTGAAAAAGTGAACAGATGTTCAAGTCCTGGACTCAACATAGTTATTTTTAATATGTTCAAGCTACATATCATTATATAAAATATCAATAGATCATATTATGTCATAGATATTTATTTTCTTTAGATTTACAATCACTTCTTTTCTGCCGATGATGTGTTATCATTTTCACTAAAATTACCCTCCCAGACACCTCATGTGGCTTGACAATTAATCAAAAACTCTAACCTGGCTGGGAATTGAACACATGTACATTCTTTCCTTTGCCAAGCCGTCCCCGGTCACAAATTCTGAGGTGTACACTTAAGACGTCCGGAACCATATTATTACTGGAAAAATGGACGGGAAAGAAAAGCAAAATAGGGCGAAGGATTCGTGGTAGGGTGGCGCCAGTGATAGTGTGGCCTGGAGATGGTGCGTGATTGTGAAGAGCATGGAAACCGCCAACCGAATGTCAAAAACTGGCACCCATTCAACCTTCCGCTTCTTAGCCCCACCGCCAAGACAAAGGAGATTCCACCTCTCCCGCCCTTCAACCTTCACTAAATTCTATCTCCCGGGCTGCACATAAATCCCGTCAACCCTCCCGAAACCAATGACCAACTCCCATTATTATCTCCACTTTTCCTAGACTACAAGCGACACACACAGATCTTAATGGTCCCCTCTAAGTGCCCCCCAGAAGAGGGCTAATCAATCTCGTCAAAGAAGCCAAAGCAGGGGGTTGACCAAGAATGCATTCAAAAGATGGCAGCAGAAGCCTGCACCCTTGCAGCAGCCGCTTCCCGAAAGCTAAACAGCAATGCCAAAATATCTGCCCCATGCTCCACATCCCCAACGCCCGCGCCAGGACCACCACCTCCCGCCACATAATCCGCTGCCAACAGGATCGCCGCGATGAGGTCCCGTGTCTCTGGAGCCCTATCTAGATCCGCCAGACTTGCGGCACGCGAGCCACCTAGGCCACCACTCGGCTAGTACAGGAGGGAAGGGCCAGAAAGGGAGGAGGTATCCAAGGCGTGTGGAGGACTGGATGTGGGACTTTATTCCGTGCTGGTGGGCGAGAATGGGGATGCAGTATCGGCCGGACGTGGAAAGGGGGTCATTTTGTTCGAGTTTGCAACTACTGTGGCGAATGGCTCAGCGAAGGGGAAGTGCGGAAAGAAGCGGCTTGAGATTCAGGGTCTCTCAGCGGACATGACGGACTATAGCAAGAATCTGTACTTTGATCTAAATCTTGCGTCGAACGTTGTTGTGCCCTGCAGGATTAGCCAGGCTTTGGCGCTCAATCAGAAGGGGAAATACATTGGGAAGGAAAATACTCTGCGCCCAAGCTGGTCTGGAGGTTATGAAAAAAATTATCACGGAGGCAGCCAGGGCGGTAGGGGTTGATGAGGACATGCGAGCAGGTAAGGAATTTGCTGCAAGTTTTCCTCACCCTCATGTATACAGGCTTGGTGATTCGCTATCACATTGCGAGCCACCCCCCAAAATTGAGCGGTGGGACCGAGGCCTCACAACTGCCTCCTCATACGAGGCGATAACCCTAGAATCCCTCCTAATCTCCGCAGCTGACGGGATAGTAACTCAATACGTCCAACACTCGGTCCTCCTTGCGCCATGGGACCAACTCGCACCGCCGATGGAACCATTCCGCTTAACCAAAAAAGATCAAAAGAAAGTCCGCCGCCGCCAACGTCAGCGCCTAAGACCTAAAAGCAAAGCAAGTGAAATTCCCACTCGGCCAGGTACCCCACCACCGCCAAACCTCAAGGAATCAAATCTGATACGAGTCTTCGGCGAAGAAGCTGTGAATGATCCTGCGGCAGTGGAACCGCCCGTGAGCCTCAAAATACTGGCTACGAACTAGGAGAATGACCTGGCCCGCGGCATCGATGTCCTTGCCCTCCGCATCGAGACATTAGCGAATAGGAGATATAGGCACGAGATCAACATCAACTCGGAGCAATTAGCTTTGATGGGGATCTTCATCCTCAACCCGAAATTCAACGTCGTTATTGTACAGGGTGGAATCCACTTCATCACAAAGTTCCGCAAACCGATGGTGAACAGGATTAACTGGAAGGAGAATCACCGCTAGAGAAGGGAGTCAAGGTGTTGAGTGCGGTGCGGGCGCCGAGCAAGAAGAGCCGATCGTTGACATGGCGAAGCGTTTGTGCGTGTTAGTCTTGGGGGGCAGAAGTGGTTTGAGAGGTTTATCACTGAGCGAGTGCTCAGTGACGCGTTGGTTGGGGATCGGTTGGAGAGGGCTAGGATGGAGTACTCGTATATGTGGACTCAGGCTAAGAATACTGTTGCGAAGGAGGGTTAGGATGAATGTAACATTGGCATCATCACTTTTTTAGTTGAGGCGTTTTTACTTTCTTATTCCCTCGCCGCCGCCTTGTTGCTCTGGCTCACTGCTGCATTGGGAACTAAAATTGCTACTGGAAACAGCCAAAGCTCGGCGATTTTCACCGTTCGGTGACCCGACATTGCCCGAGTGATATCCTGTGATAGCTTACAGCATAGCTATGGTATGGGAACAATCAACAAAGGCTCTAGAACCGTACATTATTTGAACTAATGTAGCGTACAGTTTTATTTTTTCCTTTTATCGATAGAGGATTTGCGTAATCTTTAAGAATAATGTAGAATGAAGCACAAGGAGCGAACCAGAAGTGCCCATCAGAGAAATAATTCAACAAGCAAATTAACTGTCTCCCAGCTATCTATTTTTTTCGTTCTCATGCACCTAGTTTTTCATCTGACGCCAAGCACACTTTTCTAACCTTCTTAGTCCAGCCCCGTCAACTCTCCTCTCCCTATTTCTAAACAAGGGAAATGTTACCCTCGTACAGTCCAGCAACCTTGAGAAGCGAAGGATTCAATTATTTAACAACGAATCCTCCGCTTCTCAAGGTGGCGTGGATGCAGTCCACGACAACTGATCCTCCCTGCATCCATCTTTCCTTGTCCTCCGCCATCCCGCGGAATAATGCAAAAAAAGTACGAGTTTGTGAAAACACAGTGCCATCGAATCGTAGCATCTGCCATTCCTCACCAGTCGTCACGAAGCCATAGACCACCCCCCCCCCATTCAATTCCCCCATGTCCTTCATAGCAAGAAGACATTGTTTTTTCGCTTCGCCCAGGCATGATTTTTTTGCCTCGACCACAAGCACAAACTTCTGGTTGTCAATGCCAATAAGATCGATTATCACAAACTCTTGGTTTCCACTCGTTTCTCCGTCCTTGGCTATAATTGTTTTTTCCCTCCGCAAGCGTAGATCTCGTCCCGTTTTACTATTAAACATAGCAATTACCGGGATGAGTACTGTGAACACCAGGTCGTTAACGTTGGCTTCTTTATAGTCCTTATTCGTGTCGCTTGGATAGCCCTCTCCTTTTAAATACTGTACAATCCATCTGTACACTTTCTCTTTTGCTTCTTTAACTTCCTCTCCCGTGAGCCCTTGGATTTTGGCTTCTCGGTCGGCAGTGGCTATCATCTGCGTAACTGTGACAGCACCCTTGTCGAAAGTTTCGAGAAGGAAACCCAATCGTTTCCCTGCTTGTCTGTGTGAAAGCTTCGAGTACGAGATCCTGTGCCCGGGTCCCGCTGGCGGCTGACTCTGCAAAACATTATCACCGTTAGAATTGTTTACAGGCTATTAAGAGCTCATGCTTACCGTTCTAGCAGGGGGAACCTTTTTAGCAGGGGGAGCTTTTTTAAGAGAGAGAATTTTTTCAGCTGCTGCCGGGCCACCCTGCAGGTACCTATAGTAGGCGTTAAGCGGCTTCGGTACGAAATTGGTGGCAACTGGGAGCCTAAACATCGTTGCTCTTCATTTCTTATGAATTTAGTAAGCTGGTATTCCACGAAAATAGCTGTCCAAGTTACAGGCATATAGAACCCGGATACAGGGATAAATTGTCTATGCACATCTAACCGTCCATACAAAATTCGGACTCAAGTGTTCAGGTTCTATATGCCTGTAATTGGTATGATATCAAAGGGGCCTACGTTGTTCGGGCTTCGATTCAGGGAGAGCCTCAGTAAACAAACCAAGTTTTTTTCCTGTCTGTTGCTCCTGTACGAGGACCTCGGGTGGGACCCTACCGATGCAGGTGATAATGTGGTAGATATAGGAGCCAGTGGGGCGATTGCCGGAGAAGGATTCTCTGATTCTGGGACTGCACTGGACTGCTGTCGAATATAGTGTGGAAAAAAAAACTTTGTTCGCAGTGTGTTTGCCGGTGCGGTGGGATAGTGAAGGTTTGCTTCTGAGAAAAGCTCGGAGAACCCCCTACTTAAACTTGGGGATTGATTACTAATCCTTTATCTGGTAGGGACTCAGAACCTGCATGGCAAGCCTCTAAAGCTGCTCGCTCGTCTTTACCAAGAATACCTCCGGAAGCCGAATATTGGGTGAGGGCCCCCGCAAAATATCGGCAGGTGGAGGTATTCTTGGTATTTTTCTGTGATATCGGAGGATTTCTTGCCGAAGCCTTTGAGCCTGGCATCAATCTAGCAGACCATGGCCTATTCCGAACTCCTCGTGTCTGGGGATTCCTAGTCGCAGGAGTGCACCGCTACAACGAACATTCACGCTGGCACTCCTGACCCGCACTGCAAACCAAACTCTTTGCCTCCCCCGAGAATTCACCGAAGCCGGCAGTCACCCATGATGAATACGTGTAACGAAGGTCTACAGACCCCATTACTCAGACTGCATATATGCAATCTGTCAACAGGAACGACGGTAATGCTTACAGCAATACGATCATAGGAAGTTCCAACTACATCTATAACTCCCACAACGATGCACAGATTATGCGCTGGCTCTCTCCGCTAGAGCCAAATAACAGACATTAAGGCGTGCACAACGACCGATTTGACTGTGTTGGGGATTACCTCTTTGAAACCAGCGAACCTCTGGACCGGAGAGACTGTGAGGGTGGAGCAGATAAGGCTGTCGTATTTTGCAGCGGGAGCCCGGGAGTGTTCAAGACGTACCTGAGGTAAGTGGTGGGATTGTGAGAATGAAGCGAATACCGCTCATGGCGAGGAAAAACAGTTCACCTGTGATCGACGGCTTGTGCGATCAAGCAAAGGAGGAGAATACCGCCGTCGCATGCCTGTCCGGCGACTGAACCTTCCCAGCAAGAACAGACAGTCACCAACATGATGGCATCTATTCTGAGGCGGCTGGTAGGAAGAGGCGAGATTGCGAAATATCTCCGTGACTTGGACGAGTGCTTGCCGAAGCATCTGCCAGACCTTCTGGAGTCGCTGGGAGATATTGTTCGGGAGTCTCCTACCACTCGAACATTCCTCACGTGGAGGCCGCACCTAAGGGAAGATATCCAAAGATATTTTACCAAGCCAGTTGTGATATCCATCAGTCTTAGTGCAAAAGATATCAGGAATTATCCGGGGATGAGGTTTTCTAGGGACCCCGAGCCAGGTGCGAATTATGTTATCTGATATGTACGTTGCACTAACATTTGCAGCCTATGGATGAACACTTACCAACGATTACGTATAGATTCCTCTTTTCCTCGCTAAACACCGACGCTATTCTTGGTGGGGTTAAAATTCGTCAGAGAAGAAACCTAAGGCGATGACGCGAAGCAATGGACTGGGAGATACTTACACAACTACTCTAAATCAAGTGGGGGAGCAGAAGGGAGATAAATCGGTACTCGGGCTGAAGGTGCTGATGTGGGTCCTAAATTCTGAGCGGCCGGTAAACGTCGTAGAGCACTTCCATGTATTGGGGTTGAAGGTGGGATCCGCAGATCTCAATCTAGAAAACGTACCTACATTACGGACACTCTTATTATCAGCTCAGGACCTTGTTGCCATGGGGGCTGTCTTCATCCACGGTCGGTTGATGCACCGTATCCTACAAGAGCATCTCTAGTGATTCAACCCTATTCCACAGTCCACCTCCAACAATTCCGGAGGTTCGCTTGACAAACCTCAACTATAAAAGTGTCTGGGATCTTTCGCCAACCCGGCTCCAGGCCCCCGCAGCAACACCCTTTCTGGAATATGATTCTCATTAGAGGCAAAACCGTACAAGAAGGGGGATGACGGAAAATAAGAAACCACTTGCGCTCAGGCTTCTCAAAGGGTTTTATGAGCAGATATCTGCTCAACTGATTTTATTACGCTATTCCAATGATAGCGGCTGGGGTCCTCATCGTGATGGGGACAGAGGAGCTAGGGAATTTACAGGACTTCGTGGTGGTGCATTGATCAGAAGCGGGGCGCTGTAATGGAGATGGAGGTAGGGGATGTTAATGCAACTGCTATTATCTGGAGTAAGACACTCAGAGGGGCAGTAGCACATACCCTGCTTATTTTAAATGACCGTGGAATTCCGTTCAGGTGTCCTCTCAAATAACTCGTCCATAGTACTCTTAGAATGTATAGTTGACACTGAAGACGTACCCCTCACGCACATCCCCTCACCCTCACTCAACCTTACCCTCATCTGACCCCCCCTACCATGGAAAGGGTCTTCCCCTCTGACCTGGACAGGCTCCCCAATCTAGTGGATATAGCCCCAAGCTGCATCCCCCAAAACAGTGCATCAAACCTGACGACCCCCAACATCTTCCGCCTAAATCTCCCCTCTCATCCCTCAGGATCACCACCTACGCTACCCGAATCCCCCGTGGAATGTCCAAGCAATATCACGTCCGTGCGCGGGTTCCCGAATTGCACGAGCAACCCCGAAAACCTTTCCGCCACCACGGAAATTTTGTGCCAAGGCTTAAACATTTAATATGCCTTCAAGTAGACACTGCAGCCCAAGTCCTCCAAAGTGACGGATAACCTAACAACCTGTGCAGGCGGGCGGGAAGCTCTAGAAGTTCGTTTTGTTGTCCATGAAGCCATCGATGTCAATTAAAAAAGGGTTCTGCTTCCCACTCGGGATAAAGCCTGAAGGGGATTGGCGTGTTGTGGCGGCCTACATTGCCGGACTGTAATCTTACTCTGAGAGCGAGTAAGAGCACGAATTCTCGGTCGGTGGAAAGAGAGAGCAGGTTGGTGGCGGTGTCAGAATAATTAGTTCCCATGGTAGGAGCGGGGGCACCGCACCCCAGCCGCGTGATTCTGCGATGAAGTTATTCTTATCGCCCATCTCTTCTATACGTTCTTCAATTGGTTCGTTTCTTCTCGCACTTTTCTCCAGAAGTCGAGTTATGCCGAGAAATGACATTCTCGGCGGATGCTGTCTTCGTAACATGGCTGACTAATCGCATCACATTCCGTCACTCGCTGGGTTAGTAGAGTACTAGAGGACAAGATCAATC